ATATATATATATANGTGTGCCTTGGCAGTCTCTTTAAGGAACTACAGCACGATCATATGACTTCGCATCAACACCGCTAAGCTAAAGGAGGCTAGCGTTATCGGTGTGATGATGTTTAGTCGTCTCATTTAGACACTTGTTTGCAACCGCTGTTTTAAAATGTACCATNGTCTTAAATGTAATGTAAATGTTTCCTTCGTGTGTGGTTCGGGGCCATCTTCGTGCGAAATTCCCAATTCAATATTCGTGTGTCCATCGGGTGTACATTTCGGGACAGTGTGACAGGGGCTTTAAGGAACTACAGCACGATCATATGACTTCGCATCAACACCGCTAAGCTAAAGGAGGCTAGCGTTATCGGTGTGATGTTTAGTCGTCTCATTTAGACACTTGTTTGCAACCGCTGTTTTAAAATGTACCATTAAAGTATTTACTGACGTATTTTATGTCGTAAAAACATAATGTGAAAATATCTACAACTAGAGACTTTATTATCTCCCCAAAAACTCATTCAAAAAACCATTGACTTTCAAACAAAGTTACCGTATCACCACTGTATCATTTCAGTCATTCCTCGTGCATTTATGCTTTCCCTCTGCCACCCCTTTGTTCCCTCTCACAGCTTCCTCTCTCAATCAGCGTTGCCAGGTCTATAAATAATATGACAAATCTGGCAGTGGGTTTAAGGGGGGATTTTTTTTTTTTCGCAGTCCTTCCGACAGCTGTGCAAAACAAAGTAATGTATTGCTCTCCTGTTTTATACGACCCGCGGAGCGGCTATACGTCTAATGAATATTACCAGAGTCATATCTTGTAGATGTCAGAGGGGGCGCAGCGGACTCATCGTTTCTAGTTGAGATGTGCTGCGAGGCTTCAGTGTCCAGATCGTAAAGCGATAATGTACATCCATTGCCCTAGTTACTGGAACCAATTTAGGGCATCGCTCAGCCTTACATTTGTACCTGTCTGCAGCGGCAGCGGGGGCCAGGGGGGGAGGGTGGGTGGGCCTTGTAGAGTCGTAACAGGATGAGCAATCGACTCATCTGTTTGTAATGGACTGATCTCACTGGCCAGCGCTCATCATGTGACCCGGAGCAAGCTCTGACAGAAACAGACCGCTCGATTAAGATGTATTCCAATCACTCCTCCTCCTCCTCCTCCTCCTCCTCAGCAGTATGCTCCCCCCTGCCGTTCCTTCCAACTTTTTCCCCGCCGGCTCTTATTCGCTGTGAGATTTCACATTAACCTCCCCTAACCCTCGCTGTGCCAGCTACACCAAAAGCAACTTTCCAATCCACGAGCTCTCCTCTCAGAAAGATAATTGTTTGCTTTGTCATTTCTCCAACCTCCCCCCTATCCAGGAGATAAACTCTAGCACTGGGAAAAAAGCAACAATTTGCAGCTGGAGCTCCTGCACCACGGAGACCTTTACGATCCCATTCTGCAATATCAGACGCTGAGGGAGATGAGGTAAGCTGTTTCTTTAGCTCCCCATCTCTGGTTGTCACAAGACCAAGGCTCCTCAGGCTTCAATATAGTCTTCGGTTTAACTGTTTTGACAAAAAAACAAATCAAATCTTCGACAATAGAGATGCAGGCGCGATTATGGGTAATTGAATATGAATCCCCTTCGGAGGACCGCAGGGTGAAAAGCAGGTTTTATTCCTTGAATTGCATTTTTCTATTTATGAGTGACACAAGGTGCATTTAACATATTTTTGTTTGTTTTCCGGGGCATCAGTAATCTTACCCGCTCGCCTGCCTTTTGTTGTTTGTCTCTCCACAGCCCGATGAGATGTTATCGTACGTTAAGCCTCCCAAGGACAGCGAATGGCGGGCTCAGAGTCACAAAGAGCCTACTTAAGTCCCTGGGTATCTCAGTTAAGAATGTTGAAGTGAAGGGCAGAGGAGAGAAAGACAGGCAGATGGGCGATGAAAAGGGATTACAGGTTTTTGATTGAACTATTGTAATTATTATGAATTGGTTTTGCTGCAGACATACAGAAAGGAGAGAGGATCGTTCGCTGGACTTTGCTTTCCTCTTGTCATCAAAGTCCTCTGCTCAATGACTCCTGTTCAATTAAAAGTCCATTAGGCAGGAGGTGACTGTTTCCTGCATTTAGCCTCACTTCTGCAGTGCTGCAGTCACCTTTTGCCCGCAGGACATAATTACAGAAATATGTAGCAGGCGTTCCTACTGCATAAGGCAGAGAACAGTTTCAAGGGGCCCTACAATGCTCAGGTTCATATTTGTATGTAGTGTCTCTACTGTGACATGTCTCCATGCTTTAATGCTTTAAACCCTCAGCAACGCCTGTCTGACTGTCTGCAGGACATCAGAGCCTGGATGGCCTTAAACCTTTTAAAATTCAATGAAAAAAAGACAGAGGTGATACTATTTGGACCCAGTGTTGGCCCCAATGCCCCGCCTGTGCTGGATTCTCTTGTCCCATATGTGAAACCCATTGTCACAAACCTGGGTGTACGGATTGATCGGGATTTTAAACTAGACAAACAGATCAATACTGTGGTCAAATCCAGTTTCTTTCAGCTAAGACTTTGAGCAAAGGTCAAGCCTTTCCTTTCTTTTAATGACTTTGAGAAAGTAATACATTGTTTTATATCCACTAAACTGGATTACTGCAACGCTCTGTATATTGGAGTAACCAAGGCTTCGCTGTCTCGCCTACAGCTGGTCCAGAATACTTTGGCACGCCTCCTTCCAAGGACAAGCAGGCGTGAACATATTACGACTGTACTCGCCTCGTTACACTGGCTACCAGTCAGTTTTAGAATACAATTTAAAATGTTACTGTTCGCATACAAGGCCCTAAACGGTTTAGCCCCCCCACCGTACCTGGCAGATCTTTTAAAACCATACACACCCACA